GAACGTTTTTTGTGAAAAAAATATGAACGAAAGATCCCATTAAACTAATTTGGGTCCATGAATCTAAGAAATAGTTAGGATTCTTGATCTCTCTAATCCTTTGTGCTTTTCATCATAAGTTCATCCCCTTATACTTATGAGTATTGAATATTCATATTAATGTTTAAGTTAGTTACTTCCGAAAGCCTCGGGTCCCAAATAATAAGAGTTAATCAACGACGCAAGATATCAATTTCTCTAGCTATGCTCGTACAAGTTGGATTGGGAAATAATCTGAGCCCCATACATGTAACGTATCTAACTTCATGTTTGCCAGATGACTGATCATGGACAAGAAAATCCAATAATATCAAACCCTCGCTTTCGTCAAGAAACCAGCTCCGTTGGTCATCAACGCAAGAGTTACTCAAATCCAGCCGTTGATCTCAAGCAAATCCAAAGAGTCGAAAGTAATATCAAAAGATAACGGCAGAGCAAGCTGTTAGGCAAGAGCTACGTGCATCGTGTGCTTATTTTTATGGTCAAACTCGCTGAAGCGACGACCTTCTCAGCATCCGACAAAAGTCCCTATCTTGTTAAACCATACAATACGCCAGCAGAGTACAAAGAAGCACAAAAGAGGAAGAAAGAAGAATATATATCACTCTGGCACACCGTAGCGGCATCGACTTGTCGAGCTCCCACATGAGGCCTCCATCCTCTGCAATTTCAAAGTAAAAAAATGTATTATTTCACGAGACGAGTGTATGGCAGAGGGAAAGATCATCTCGCTAGACAGACAATAACATGATGCGTAGTATATCACAGGTTATGTATCTTAGACTACTTCAAGCACGTGAAAGCAGAACATGTTCCCAAAGAACGAACCGAATTTATACATCAGCAGCAGTACCACAGAAAATCCATGTCATTCTTCATCAAAACTAAGCAGTATCTTGTAATTTTCCAGGAAAACTGCACCACAAAGCCTAACTAATGTAATTGAGTCCTGAACTTTCCAATTGTTCGATCAATTCCTAAACATTTACCGAAAGAGCAAATGAGTCGTGAATCTTTAGATTATTTCAATTAAGTCCTAAACTTTTATCAAGAAATTGCAATTCATATAGTGAGCAATTTTAGGATTTGATTGCATCTTTTGATAAAAAAATTAGGACTTAATTGAAGTAAGTGAAAAGTTTATGACCTAATTGCTTTTCTTACATGAATTTGGGACTTGCTGCGTAGTTTTTCCATAATTTTTTCTTACCACATTACAGTGAAGATGTCGGGCTGGCAGTTCAGGGTCCCACCGAGAATCATCCAATCGTCGCCACCGGTGCTGTTGATCCGAGCCGTAAAGGTGACGCCCATGCACGAGAAGTACACGCCGAACACGGGCACCCACCCCAGACCCAAGTGCAGCCTCCGGTTGGCTTTTGCAACCACGTCGATGGCAATTTCCCCGCGCTTCAACGTGCTCACCAGGGCCTTCACGCCCAAGTCATTGACGATCGCAATGGTCGACAGCGCCTCGGCTCGGACTGTGGTCACGTCGCGGGGACCCTGAGTGAAGGTGGGAACGAGGGAGGGACGAGAGAGAGGGAGTCCGCTTCCAAAGCTCAGGAGGAGCTTCATGTGGGTGTACTTGACGGGGATCAGCTTACTGGGATTCTTGATGGTCAGAGCCATGTTCCATCGGGCGGTGACGCGGGAAGAGGAGATATTGAGGGACGAGAGTGAGGAGCCCGGGTCGAGCCTGAACTCCGGCGGCATGACAGCAGGGATTGCCAGGAAGGTGACCATGAGGAAGAAGAGAAAAGTGGGTATGGCAAACACCATGCAGTGGCCGATGATCTGCTTGTACCTGTCGGGAGGCAGCGGCGGCGATGGCGATGGCGGTGCCGGGTTGTTGTTACTTGCGGCGGGTGGAATGGCGCGGAGGTTTGCCATTGGGATTGTGTGGAGTGCTTTTTTGATTATGGGTTGTGCAGTCTAAGACAGCTATGAGAGGAGGCAGCAAATTATGAGGGGGCGATATTTTGGTGTGTGGTCTCTCCTCGGTGGTTGTTATTTAAAGGGAAGAAGAGGTGGTGCTAAGAAATTACATGAGTTAAGCCACGATTATATTAATCAGTTTTAGTTGGCCCAGCATGGACGCAGCCGGCGAAAGAAGGACGGGGACGGACATAGGGACTCGTGAAACCGTTGACCGGTAGACGAAAACACTACGCTCCGCAAGCACCTTGGACTTCGACAATCCGCAAGCACCTTGGACTGCGACACTCCGCAAGCACCACCTTGGACTTCGACAATCCGCAAGCACCTTGGACTTCGACAATCCGCAAGCACCTTGGACTGCGACACTCCGCAAGCACCACCTTGGACTTCGACAATCCGCAAGCACCTTGGACTGCGACACTCCGCAAGCACCACCTTGGACTGCGACACTCCGCAAGCACCACCTTGGACTGCGACAATCCGCAAGCACCACCTTGGACTTCGACACTCCGCAAGCACCACCTTGGACTTCGACAATCCGCAAGCACCTTGGACCGCGACACTCCGCAAGCACCACCTTGGACTGCGACACTCCGCAAGCACCACCTTGGACTTCGACAATCCGCAAGCACCACCTTGGACTGCGACACTCCGCAAGCACCTTGGACTTCGACAATCCGCAAGCACCTTGGACTGCGACACTCCGCAAGCACCTTGGACTTCTACGCTCTGACAGCAACGTGGTCCAAGTTGCTTTTGGAGCGTAGCGTTTTCGACTACCGGTCACTTCACTTTCTTTCCAAAGATCTACAAATGCCAGGGCTCTATCTCACTCTGTTAGTCCTTTATCCGTCCAAATTAATCATCAAACTACAATGTTGACTGATGTGAATGTATATGCTACGTGAGGAGATGGCATTATACTCTAGGGATAATATAATGATTTTGTTTCCAATCCAACAACCAGAACTCTTGCATTAATTGCGATATCTATACCATATGATTTTTTCTTGTTTTGGCCAAAAAATTATTATTTTCACCTTAGATGGATATTATGATGAAAACTAACATTTTCATGCAAACTTTCTAGATTAAAAAATCATGGTATTGCAAAGTTGAAGATTATTCATGAGAAATGTATTGCCCAATTCATGTGAAAGTTATGTCTTATATTACTCGAGATGAAATGGAGTAACAAATAAAAATGAGTGAACAAATTTGTGATATCGTAGGCTACCTAACATACCTGTCAATGAATTTTTTTTTCTTTTAAATTTATTGTTTATATATCTATTTATGATGTGACCCACATGACTCTAAAAAACAAAGGATTCACACACATGACGCACATATCAGTACCATCAGTTTTGGTTAAAAAAATTAGTTTTGATGAGCTTTAATGTTGCTAAATAGCAATTAGTGAAAATTCTAATTTTTTTTGTAAATCTTCCTATTAAATATTTTGTTGGAAGTTTTGTATTATTTTCTTTCAGTATTATGATGATGTAGCTGATTACATATAGAATATCCTCCTATCATCTAACAACAACAATCGTGAATTATCTATTTATGGTCGAGTCCATGTATTTTTACGTTGATTGTACATGAGCTAAGAATTTCTCCTTCATTTTGTTCAAACGAAGAAGATTCATATAGAATAGGATGCAAAACCATGCTAAAAAACACATTTCCATTTTACAAAAATAAAAAAAAATAAAATAAAAAACAAAGCTCGTGTAACGAATGAGTATGCTACTAGTTTTGAGTAATATAAAAATAGGACAATTCTACTATCCTGTTTCCAAAAAAGAAACAGATTTTTTCCGTACTAGTAGATTTCTAAAAGAGCTAGTTAGGTCGAAAAAAAGTTACCGGTTAATTGATTTCTTGGTAACTTATTGACAACTTAATGACATTTTTATGAAATTATTCATTCCTTTTTACAGTTTGCAATCTATCAGCTTTTCTTAATTTTTTACTAACTTTAGTTTGTATTTTTTGCAAATGCCTCGAATTTACCAACTCTTGTATGAATTTATCAATCTTTATTTGTGTGATTACCAGCTCTAATAAATGGTAAGTCACTCAATTTTAAGGTTAGTATTGTCTAAATGAATTTGGTAAATTAGAGGCTTTGTTAAGAAATGCATATACAAGTTTTCATACAATAAAAATGTTAGCAAATACTTGGCGCTTGAAACTCGAAGCTCACCTTGCCGCCGCAAAGAGTTCGGTGCTCTAACCTCAAATTCTGGCCAAAGTTGTCTCCGACACCTCGATGATGATTTCCCACGATCGACTTGAGAGCGTTCGCGAAAGGGGATTGGAAGTCAAGTCTGTGAAGACTGGCCGAGCTGGTGGCGGACGAGCCACGACACGGCCCTGGCCATGAGCTTGAGGAGCTGGACAACAGCACGGAAGCAGGCCACGGAGGTGGTGGAGAAGCAACAATCTGCTCTAATTTCCCCAGTAGCATAATCAGCCAACGAGTCTAAAACCAAAGCCCCGCTAAGAGTTGGTTCGAAATCTGCTAACTCCTAAGTCCTACGGAGACTGAATCTCGCAGAAGCAAATTAAACTTCAATAGCTAGTATTGCTCGTTTCTCAGTGAAAACTCTCACCACCCTCCTGAACCATGCCATAACCACCGCCTGTCGACATGGTTTCCGAACCTTGTTCCGAGTACAGGAGCATGAAACTGTTCCCAAATCTCTTCTTTTTGTCCGACAAGCAAAGCTCATATTAGGCGAACCATATTCCTGATGTATCAAGATCAGTTCAGATGTAAGTTTATTCTATACATAGCTAAGCAGACTTTCAGTCTACAAGCTCACTCACCTAAAGTGAACACTGAACTCAGGCCAACACAGTGGCTACTGCCTGGAAGTTTGAAGCTCCAAGCCTGAGAAGGAGGCTTACTGATGCTTCAACCAGAGAAGCACCCTTTACTTAACCTAAGCAGTTTACCAAATATTACTTTGAACTTAAGCCTTTCGTTAAATGTTGCTTTGAACTACATCTGCAACCAAACAAGCCGATATTACATTGACTTTTACACCAATTGTTTGTTGACAGTTCAACTCTACCTTTTACAAAGTTAAAAGTCCGCCCGAGCTTGGGAAGACGACGATAACACCATAAATGGATTTCAAACAATAACATAACAAGCATTCAAGCGTTGCATTTTACTACAGGATACAAGATACACACCCCTTGTTTGGATTGTGGATTACAATCGGCAAATGAAACCCCCAAACTTGACCTACTCTACTGGTCCCCCGGATGGGACTTAATCAGCAGTCCAGCTCTGCTCCACAACCTCCCTTACTCTCCGGTTGTATTCACGCTTGTTCTCACTGAACATTCGAGCGGCTTCTGAGTTTGCAGGAGAGTTTGGATTGGGATCGCACAGCAAAGACTGCGATAAAGAACAATGAGATTACCAAAAAGGCAGATTGCTTGAGCATGACTGAGTAAATACAGATGAAGCAGTAGCATTAGTAGGAGGTCAAGGCAGGGAAATATGGGTGATTTCTAAGCTAACTATGAGCCAAAATAATAAGCAGACTTGACAGCAGTCACCCTTTAACAAAGCATTCCACAAAAGACATCGATTCATGTTCAGTTTAAACCTACTGTTGGCTACTGGTGCAAAGATACAGATGTAAATTCCATCATTCACCACAGCAATCAACTAAAAGAAATTCTCCTTCCCGATGTAAAAGCCAATCAAGTCTCTAAAAGAAGGTAACATTATGATGAGAGCACGCTCTGCCAGTCCACCTACCAGTACTTCATCTTGATGTCTAAAAGGACTTCAAAAATATCAAGCAGATAGCAAACCCAAATTTTAATTGAAGAGAAAAAAATGGTCAAATTGTAAAGCTTCAGGCAAGTATTCATGTACCCACTACATGCCGGCATACAACACAGCTCAGTGAAAAACGGCTTAATTTCCAGAAACAGGATTACCAAGGCACAAAGCTTCAGTTCATGGTCAAGAAGAGACTATATTAAGACAAAAAGAGTTAGAAGAGACTTTTACTCGTCAAAAAGGAGCCAGCAAATGAAATAACTGGCTTTTGGATTGCACAAACTTAATGATTATATCTTGATTATCCTGTTTGATCTGTAAAAGCTAATCTTGCATCAATTATGCAAGAAACAAGAACATTGCCGAATTCATTACCTATTCAGCACTGTCAACTCCACGATACTTTAATGGCCAATGGTGTCGAACAGAAAAATATAAGAACTGGTTTCTAAGATCAATTTAATTTTATATAATCACACATGATCATGCAGAAATGTTTCTCAAGCAACATGCTTTCCGTATCTCTAGTTCTAAAATTTTCAGGTCGGTTTCATGCTTTAATTTCATTTTTTGAACTATGGATAAAAGTGAAAAGCATTCAATATGTCACGTTAGTATAAAGGCTTAAAAAAAAAGATGTTCAATGGTTACAAGAAACATGTATATGGTTGACAGTGAACGTTGAATGAAAGAGAGGAACATACAAAAGCCACAAACAACTCAATAAGCACACACACTTTGCACGGAGTAAGAAATAAAGACGGTAAGGGCCAGTTTGTTCAATAAAGACTCTCTAGGAAATTGTTTTCGGACGTTCTAGTGTTTGGATAACGAAAAACTACTCGATCGCCGGAAAGAGTTTTCTATGGACTGAAAACAAGAAGCTTAGATTTCTAGCAAGAAGGAAATCATTTTCCCTAATTTCTTGCTTCGTTTTCAAGTGAGAAAAATAGGTCTCTCTATGTCTATTTCCTATCTCTCATCAATTTTTTTCATTTTTTTTTTGATAATTCTCATCTATGTTTTCATAAATCTTTTCTACCATCTCCCGAGTATAATTAATGCTCATGTTCCTTTACATTCTCAAACAACACAATCATATATAATATTATACAAACATAATTTCATAATTTCTTTCCTAATATCTCTGTAATTCATGTTATTTTGATGGAATACAGAATAAACAGAGAAGATGTTGATTTCATTTTGAAGGTCATTACATTTCGTTTTTAACAATACAAGCTGCCTCAGTGGATTCGCTTATTATCAAATAACATAAAACCAACTTTTCAAACTTGTTTTCAGCACAAACAAAAGCTAGAAAATGGTTTACTTCCTCTGCAATTAAATTTCCTTAAAAAGTTTTTCAACGACAAGAAGTTCTCGGTGAAACAGACAAATCCTAAAGGATGAAGCCATTTCAATGTACATAGAAACACAAGATGCAGAGTTCAAATTTAAAACCAACAGATTCATCCACCATTATCCAACTAGCTTTCTAGTATAGATAGTAAATAACGAAAATACCTGTATAGATGTGAGTATTGCTGCAACATCATATATCGGACTCCACTGGTTTTGCAATATATCCAAACAGATACTTCCATCGGCATAAACTATATATTTTTCAAGAATAAAAGAAGTCCATGAGAATCATTATACATGATGAGAGTAAATGTGAACTGAAAGCAGCTTGTAACTTGTTCCTGCAGCAACTTACTGTTTGGATGAAACATTCGAGAAACAAAACGCACTGTCGGAGGTTTATTTGGATAATCCTCTGTAAACTGCAGAGTCAACTTGAACGTACCTGAAAAACTCGAGCAGATGTTTTCATGTAGAAACAACTAAAGTGGGATATTCTCATGTAGACATCGAATATAACCAATGGAAGCAACCAGGATGAAAAGACAAAAGACAATTAGACAGTGAATCATCTCCCTTTAGTTGAAAGAGCGTTCTTGATATGGTCCCACTTGGATAAACACAACAAGGCCATGAATATAAAAGCCCGCAATAACCATAATAACAGTGATAATTTATTACTAGTGCAAGAGATCATTGCCACAATCTCTGCAAATACATAATCTCACAAAAAAAAAACAAGAGCACCACAATCTCAACACAAATGGAGGTCTACATAAGCGAAGAACAATCAGTGGAAGACTTACCTCCATCCCATGGAGTATCATCAGGACTGCAATACAACCAAGAAGAAACAACAAACAGCTTAACCAACTGTACTGATGATATGGGAACCAAACGAAAGGAAGCAAAGATAATTGAAGAATCTAAGAGTTCTCTCCAACGTACCCGAATATCACAGCATTCCAAAGCATAATGTTGTTATCTTGGGGTGCACCACTAATGCCTGCCGGTGGGTCCTGTTGCAACCTCTTAAAATCCCTCATCAGCCTCTTCCTTGCAGGAGTTGACATTGTGGTCACTGCCCACGAATTCCAAACGGTAGTCAACTCAACGAAACGAAAAAAAGGCAGTTGCAGGCCATAATGTATAAACTGTGCTGGATGCGATCTGAGGGAGCTAAAAAGTTCTGTTTTCATTTAGTCAGTCACACTACTACTACTATCCTAACAGCTACCGATTCCCGAAGAAAGGTATGTTTGCATGGAGCTAGAGTCTCTATTCAATTCATCCCTATCCCTAAACGAGTAGATGTCATGCGGAACCCTGAACTCCATAATTCTCTGGTGGGTTCATAATGGATTAGGTTTGGACGACTGAGAAGACATCATCAACTCCACCCTTACGGCATTAGGAGATGACAAATGCGAAACAACGAATACAACCTAATAGGCTCCACTCAGCAGCAGACACCAGCTGGGGAAAAGCAAAACTCCAACCTCAAAAGTCCAATACCCTTGAATCCCCTAAATTTCCACGAAATTTTAAACCTTCTAAAAGGAAGCAGCAATACCCTCCAAGCAAAATTACAAGTCTAGACATCAAAGAACAGGAATTTTTAACAGACGCATGCACAAGCCAACACCAGACAGCAAAAAAAGGGAGAGCTTGAGCTAGGGTTTCGGCCGGAACACGCCGCCCAAGGATCCCTCGATCCATCAAACCGAATCCTCAAGGTCCCACGAAGGGATGGCTAGAAATCGCAATTGAACCGGCAAATTTCACAACACAAAAGCGGAAATTGAAGCCACGATGGGGCTGCGCCGAACCTGCCGGAAGGGAGAGCCGATGAAGAACACCCCCTCTCGAAGCCGTCCAACCCCCAGCAGAACAGAGGAACGAGCTAGGGTTGCCTCTGGCGATCGGGAAGGCCGCCGAGCGAGGAGAGAATCGGTCCCCCACGAGAGGTGAAAAGTGGGGGGGAGAGATTTTTCTGCGAGCGCTCGGTCCAGGGAGAAAGATCGAAGGAAGCTTCGCTTTGGTTTATGCGGGGAGAAAAAGAGAGAGAGAGAGAGAGAGAGAGAGAAAGGAAGAGAGAGAATTGATGTGATAGGCGGCGTCCGCTGTTGCCGTGCGCCGGCGTCGCACCCGATCTTCTCCCTCGTCCCTTGCGGCAGCTGGTCGGCTGGGCCGCGCCCCATTCATTTGGGCCTTTACGGAATCGGGCCCATAGCTCACCGTGGCCCGAATGGGTGCTAACGGTCGAAATCCTCCTTGCAAGTGTCTGTTCCTCGATAGGTCGAGCCGAAAATAGTTCGACCCAAATTGATCCATTTAACCCATTTTGACATGTTCTTATGGAATATATAATCAACTCGAATCATATTGCTAAAACGTTTTCATACTTAACTTAATCTTGGAAAATCCATACCTAAATTGAGGTGAGAGCGCGAGAGTGAGGGAGGGCGAGAGAGAGTGAAGAGAGAATCGTAGATGTGGGTTGAGTGTAAGCAAACTGTGAATCCATTTAACACTCATATTATTTTGATTTTTACCATTTTAAATCCATTTATGACCCATTTACTGAATATAACTTACTCACACGGTAACTCAACCCATCAATATGGATTAAGAAATAGATTTATGATCCATTTTGATAGGTCTAATCATAATACGAGTGATCGGTTTCAAGAGAAGAACCCTAAACCGATTGGGTTCTTCTCGGTTCCAATATCGAATTGAGTAGTCCTAAAATCTGAGTGCCCCATTTTTGGTTCTATTCGAAAATTGGGCTTCACTTTCCATTTTTCAGATTTTTTTAAAAATCAAATAATAAAAATAATTTACTTAATAACAAATGAACATCGGTTAGTTTTTTTCTTCTGATCACATTGTCAGTTCAAGTGGCCTTTAATAGCATATGTCAGTTGTAGTTTTGCAAAACACTTTTCTTTGTGGTTATTATTAAGGATATCCTCTACTAGTTGACATTCCACTAATTAAAATAATTACAAAGTCACATGAGACTAAAGAGCGGCCCAAAGGGAGACTCGAAATTGAGACCTCTTGATTCTTGAGGCAAAAGGGCTAATCGTGTTATCAGTTGCGGGCCAACCAACTTGGGTTCGCCATTCCTTAACTACCATGGATACGACACAGAATTGTCAATCATGTTGAGAGAGCTTAGCAGAAACCTAATACGTTCACCTAAGGAGATCGTCAAGATGGAGCCCAATCCAAACCTGTTAATATATCCGGTCGGACTTGCATATACTTAAAATTATAAGTCAATTGGTTGTGTGCAAATTATTATATATTAACTACTCCACATTACACCAATTCTCCGATATCGGATTTCTTAGATTACAACTCATTCGTATTTCTCAACAATCTTCCCCTCGTGTGTAAGCCAAGTATTAGGTTTACTCCCCTTAATTCAAGTATCTTTATATACCAATATGTCGTAACTTGAATCTTCAACTCCCGCCTTCATACCGAATCTCTTTCTTCGAAGGTTGTCATCAGGGTTACGTTGCTACCCCAAAATGCCCAACTTCACTCATTCATCTGACCAAAACTAAGAAGGCTGTGCAGAAATCACGTTGGTCAAATTCTTATCACCAATCAACTATCGGCTATGATATCAGTTATTAAGAGTCTACAATAGAAACCCGATACCTTAAATGGAGAGATCAGCAAAAGAGAACCTAAGTCCGATTGCGTTAACATATTTAGTTGGAAGTTAGTATGAAAAAGACACCAAAAATTCTTTTTATCAACAATTTGAGACACATAACAATAATTATTGAAATTTCACCATGGAAAAAAGAATCGATCTTTTGAGCACCAATCAATAGATTTCTGCATGTATTATTATACGAGAGAAATGATTGAGTAAGAGTCTTTAATTTACTATGAGAATAACAGCACGTTCTCAACCACAAAAAAAAATAAATAATTATAAATTATTGTGAGTACCACTCCTTCAAGAATTTGTGGCTCACAGCTCACAATGTAGTGTTACTCTCCCAGTGACCCATGGACTCTTACACTAGCAAAGCCCCTTGTACAATATCTCTTTGCCTGTTGAACCATCACGATGGTACACCAATTTGAGTAAATTAGAAACGACCCTTGCCTTTTGAAATAAAGCTACAAAACACTGCAACTTAATTTGAAGGACCAATAGGCCAACGATTTTCCACCTCAAACAATAACAAATCACCAATGTAAGTCTGCAAAGTAAAGAAACAAATCGTTGTTCCGGCCCTTCTCTGTGAACAAAAGCTGTTTGCTCGGAACAGCTACATATTTTATCATGCTGCACAACTTTCTCCATCACGATACAACTAAAGTCACCGAAATATGCACAACTAATGAAATGCCATCATCTACTTAGCTCACAAATTTGTGCGATCCCTGTTATCGTTTTGGGACGTGGATGCACTTTTCGACAAAGAGAACGGCAACGAAGGAGGTGCAATCACAAAACTTCCGGGTTGAGAAGCACTCGTCGAGCTCGATTTGTTCAAGGAACTCAATGCACACCTGTTTGCTTGTAACGCCTGGGGGAGGAGAGAAGAGGCCGTTGAAAAGGGTTCGGTGCTCCACCTCAACTTTTGGCCGAAGCTGTTGCTGTCTCCGACCCCCTGATGATGATCCCCTATAGTCGCCGCAGCAGCTCCACTGCTACTGTTGCCAATGATCGACTTGAGAGCGACTGCCAAAGCGGATTGGAACTTGGGGTCTGCCGTGATTGCCATGGTTGCGGCGGCAATGGTGTCTGGTAGAGATTGTTGAGTAGGGCTAGGGTTATTCTTGATTTGCAAGTAGGGTTGATAAGCTGTGTGGTTCTTGTTTTGGAGCTGAGTGGCGTAGTTAAGAAGCCCATTGTTAGCCCATGACATGGGAAGATAATTATCAGATGGATCGGGCGAACTAAAGCTTAAGCTTGTGGAAGAGTATCTTGACGTTGTCGAAGGGTAAGTATGGGAGGAGTATCGATTGAAATGCGACGAAGTCGACGATGCCAATGACAGGTTCGAGGAAGTGAGGTCAAGAGTGATTGTTGGGCAGGTAGGAGCAGATGACATGGCCAAGCTGGGCAGGTAAAATTGCTTCGATTTCGAAGCATCGGACAGATAAAAGTTAAGCCCGTGAAGGTCGGCCCCAGTAGTGGCGGATGTGCCATGACTCTGTCCTGGCTGTGAGCTTGAGGAGCCGGACAACAGCATGGCAGCAGCAGCGGAGGTGGTGGAAGCCATAGCAGTGGCCGACATTGGAAGCGGGTGGTTATGCGCGCCTTCATATGTGGTTATCAAAATGGACATGTCCTCAGCACACCTTTGCACCTGATTGTCCACAAAGGAAGATCTCCAATTAGAAGGGCGAGCTATAAGTTCATCCTATAATTTCTTACAACGTGATGAATGAATGACTTAGGTTTATCCAAATATTTTCAAGTCTTTACAATTATGATTTGTCAATATGGCGAGAGTAAATTAAGCTACCTGTTTTCTAACAGGGCAGGATGGCGCCACCGTACACCGATAGTACGCTCGAGGGCATGGGTTTCCTTTTGCAATCTTTTGGCCATACTTTCGCCATTGACATCCGTCGTTTATCTGTTGAAGAAATACCATAAACTTTTCTAGCTCAGTTTGCAACATTCAACTATACAAATAACTTGATCAAATAATCAACGAAGAACAACTGAAGAGAATATGTCTCCCGACAAATGTACAATAATATAATTAAGCTCCAAATTACTAACCGTCGCCGTGTCGCATTGAGCCCGCACTGAAACCCTAACTTTCTTGGGCGGGTTTTGCTGGGAAACCTCATCATCCCCATCTGATCTCATTGTTTTGAGGACTTTGCTAGGTGGCCAAGTCTGTCCGGCTTCTTCCTTTAGATGATCTTCAAAGCTAGTCGCAGGACTACTCTTGTTGTTATTATTATTCTTCAGCAAAGCTTCGACCAGACTCATTCTCGATGCATCGGATAATTTGCAGTCCAATGAGAGACCCAAGTCTTGATCTTTGCTAATATTCTCTAAGAATAGCAACTTCCCCTCGCGTGATGAAATCGATGACTTGTTTTTCTCATCATCTTTCTCTGAGTGCTGGCTTGAGGTGGCTCTTCCCAGGCTGAGAGAAACAAGCTCTTCAGACTCTTCAGTTTGTTGCCTGTCATCGTTACCATTAGCGGCTGCTTCATTATCTGAAGGTTTCTTTTGCTCCTGATCGGGCTTGACGATGTCGAAGAACTGCATTTGGAGGGTCTTGTACTCTTTCATTATGCGGTCCAAGTACGTCTTCAGCCTTTGATTTTCTTCTCTCAACTCACCCATTTCGGCTCGGGCGGATTTAAGCGGATCTTGTTCCTAAAGATACGAAATAAAAACCAAATGTAAGCTATAGTAATTAAGAGTATTCATCTTATAAAGTGAAAGGGAACAGGTAGTTCAACAAAACTCTGAATTGTGGTTTTTGAGATGTGCGTCTTAATTGTAAGATTAGTATATCCAAATCGGAAATAAATTGGATCTCATACAAGTCATTGTCCACGTTCTTTCGCAGCTGGACAAAGAGGGTCAATAATGACAGAACTCAGGATCTTTGACAAGGTTTAATATTTGGACAGACAAGTCAACTCCTGGACCTCTTGAACTATTGAATCTCAGCACCTTTTGTTTGAAGAAAGATGTGTTCTTTTTCCTCCAATTTTTTCACCGCAAAATTCATCCTTAGCATAAATCAGCTTACATCCGCGCTTTTCCACCGGTAATCGGTAGCTGGAACAGGACAGCGAAGAAGATGTTTTTCCGAGGATTTATTTTGGATAATATTTGAGGGACAACCTAAGTATATGTCCCTCAATATCAAGAATTTTCTGCCTTGTAAACTTAAACATTACCAAGATCTGGGAATCTGTAAACCTAGAATCCATGATAACACGTCGAACATATCGAGCCAAACATGTCATAGATCAATTTACCTGCTTACTGGTGCTTATGTTTTTTGGCTCAGGAGAAGATCGCTTTGAATTATCATTCCTCTGCTGGTTCTTTTCTCCATCTTCTACCTGAAAAGTGAAAACGCAAGAAGTGCCTTAGTATACTGCATGAATGCATGGGTTTGACGATGTGCCATCCACCACGAATGCATGGTTTGCTCGTCACTTCCTCATCATGCTGTTCAAGCGACGACAGAGACTAAAGAAAGCCAGGTCCCGAAATCATATCCTATTCCTCCGGCAGCAAAAATGAAATGAATTATCAAAGGAGGACCATCTCTTTTTACCTTAACAACGCTGCTCATTCCGCAGCAGTGTCCACCGCGGCCGTCAGGCTCAGCTCTTTGCTCTTCCATGACCATTATCACTTCAGCCTTCATGGCTCTTCTTCTTCTTCTTCTTCTTCTCTCTCTCTTCTCTCTCTCTCTCTCTCTCTCTCTCTCTCTACTTATCTTTTTTTCTTCTTCTTGTGGCCCTTCTTTTCTCTATCCTCTCATGAACGGGACTCTCTCTATTCCTTGATATAGGCCTCAAGCCTGAGGTATTTGACTATTCTTAGCTTGCAGTACTTTTTTGCATCCCCATCAAAAATACAAGTCAACCCAGCTCAGCCCAAATTGCAACTCGGATTTGATTTTATATAGAAATAGTTGAAGAATCCAATTTCAACACATTTGAACTTGATGTCAGACTAGATCCAAACTCATTCAGTTCTTTGAAAAATAAACAGATACGACTATAGAGAACTTTAAGCCGCAATGGTCGGAACCCCCACCTAACCCTAGCTACTAACTTCGTGGAAACTTCATGTCATACCATTTTTAGAAACTCAAAAAACAAGTAGAAGAAAAGTCAAATGGCAATTGGTCCACGGTCAATGTTTTTTCTCCACCGCCGCACGGCCGCCGGTGACCGGAGCTCTGGCTTTTTTGTCTTTGGATCGGTTGCCCCTTTTGATTAATCTAAACGGGTGTGAAGAAGAATACTTTATGCAACCTCTTTGTTAGGACAAAGCTTGGGGTTTAATTATGCTGCACATGAAATTTTTTAAGCATTGCCATATGGTGTTGACCTATCTATCCAAACGTAACCTTCATTTTTATTTCGAATCTCGAGTTTTGATCTAGCGCGAGACATGCATCATGCGACGCATATTATTAATCTCGTTCTACAATTTAGTATATGGTTCTTTCTTTAGTAGCTAAGAGTATATTCCCTTATATGTGTTTCGGTTTCAAAGTTATCTCATGACATAGTATACGATTCTCATTCGACATTTTTCCTTAGAGTGGTTCAATAAACTTTCCTATAACTCGATTGCAACGAATGCGAATTACTGTGAATTCGTGAATTTCGATGTTTATGATTTTATAGACTCCGCGGTCCGTGTGAATTATAATCCTAAGTTGAATCTAGAGGACCACGTTCGTGATGTGGATGTGCCTATAAATTATTAGGAGATGCAAGAATAGCGGCAAGACTTCATTTCAGCCGACTAATCTTGGGATTTGGGACCGTTGATGTCTGACAAACTTTATAATTTTTAACATTTTTATTTGAAGGATTCACATCTATCTCATCTAATGGAAGGTCAACTTTACCAAAATGTATAAACTTCTGATCATATAATAGAAAGTCACGCTATCTTATCTTGTCAAAGATGATATTTTGGCCGATGGCGATATATTTCTCGACTGGCGTGAAATTGTTCATTATTATTATTATTATTGTGTATTTTTTAGGACGAACTATTCGTGCATGGAGAAGGGATTGTCAAAAGTTGAAGGAAAGCTACTTCACAAGTTGAAGAGAAGAATATAGACGCGAAGAGTAGAATTGACCCCGCAATCTTCATGCGACATTTCTGCAAGAGCGAAGAACGTAATTGTCCATTTTATCGGCAAAAGAGGAAAAAAACGAACTAATGCATTTTTGCATTTGACCATTGATATTTGAGATATGTATAAAGAGCACGAAATTGTCCATCTAGCCAGATAAGGACATTACAAATGTCATAACTCTCATACGACGCTTACTTTGATGTTGTAACTTTTCAATCATTACTTGAGTGCCATAATTTTTCAATCGACTATTTTAGTGCTATAACTTAAAAAAAAAAGAACGTTCCCAATATAAGTTCTAATGTCATGTTGGATTTGTCGACAAGAACCATTGACGTCACTCAAGTGAATATTTTTTTAAAAGTTATAATATCCAAATTATTGGTTGAAAAGTTATGGCACCAAAGTGTGAGCCCTACGAAAGTTAACGATAGAACTTTTGTGTCTTAACAAAAGGAAGGCCTGTGTAAGATGGATTTTTCTTTTCTTGTGTAGCTATTAATGGGGCAATCGTGGGTTGGCGTGTACATACCATATCGAATAAGCCATTCACAATTTGATCAAAGGCAAACCATCTATCTTGAGATCAGAAAAACTGTAAATCATGAGGAATTATCTTCTTGTTGACCTAATCTGTGAGATTAGGTCCAGTAAGAATTGAACTTCCCATGTGAAGTGTAATTAAAGTCCTGGTTATTTACCGTTCGACCACCGATTACCAGGTTATTTTTAAGCATAATCTTCAGAAAATATAATCAAATACCAATAAGCAAATAACAAAATGGGATAGTTCGAATCTTCTCTTAAATGTCCTGCATATGTGTGACGATCCATGATCCTAGTGAATTGTTTTAAAAAGGTGACAGCCAGATATGATCTAGGGTTTTCCAAGCCATGTCATACAAGGAAGTGAAATAATATTATAAGGTCTTAGAATATATAATGAGGAGAGTGGTCATAAAAATATATAATTAGAAGAGTTGCACATTGCCATCCCGTTGCGCTGGATAGGAGCGATTAACTTAATAAATACCCCGAAAATTTTCTTTAAACCTTATGACTTCCTGATCAGATCATTTAATTAAGCTTTTCTATAAGTCTAGTTGAAATTATTTCATGTCGCCACAATGTCAACTGTAGCATTAGCCCAAGAGTGCATTTATACAATGTCTTGTTGTTATAGCATGTGTCACCTATATGTAGCTTTCTATAATTCACCTCCACGCACAGTATTGATTCTGCCATAGATCGTAAAATTCGATGAGCCCACTGCCAAACTCTTCTATAAACTTATGTTGTCTTTAACATTTAGATATTCTAAGGCTTCCCCTCACGTGTAGACCAGACTTTTCGGTCTAAGATTGAAGAGATGATTTGAATTCGGTACCTCCTGGTTCGATACCACGTAAGATTTTGCGGGACAGCTATTAACTGTTCTGAAAGTTTAAACTGTTGGATGAAGGCGCAGTTCAACATTAGAACTTTGTAAGATAGATAGTCACAGTCTGGCGTATGTAAATTGATGGTCCGCTAAAAAGGGGATATTCCTTGATTAATTATTTATTAAGCCAATTGGGTCGGCATTGCATATGGCTTAACAATTTTGATGAGTGGGACATGAGAAGACCTTTAGGTTATCGCTTCCACTAATTGTTCATTATGCACAAAGGAGGTCAACCCAATTAAATAGCACATGCATACCAAATGGGTCGACCCAATTGATGCAAATTCAATTCTAGTCTTTTCTAATTGGGAAACTTGACTTATTATAAATAAATATAATATTATATATATTCTTTATAATGTGTTTTGTTTTCCTCAATGGAGGGTTTGCATGCAAGCATGCATGAGGCATTATCCTCAGCTAAAACGGTCAACGAAAAAAGATACGCAAGTGGATTTACTATATACGAAAATAAAATGGAGTTTGCAACGTCAACCAAATTCAACGAACTGGTCAATCTATATTCTTGAAACAACAATTCCACAAGTTTGGTATTTGCTAATAATACTAATTCAAAGTAAATTTATCAATGTTTAATTTTATATATCATATAATAAGACGTGCCCTTGGTCAAACCACATAATTTTCGTGCAAGTCAACTTTCTCAAAAATTTGCCGCTAGATACGTTGTTTAGATTTTATTGAAATGTCAAAATTACGAGATAATGATGCATTATTTAATATTTGCGGAATTTCGGGTATAAGCTGCCCGGGATAGTAATTAATTTTGACCGAAAAACAAATTCTGATTTAGGAGATTTGACATTGGAAATAAGGAGTTTCGAATGAGCTTCCTCTCCGCAAATGTTGGTACTGTCAACATGATAACGTGAAAATGAGTATGATAATTCTAGTAATTTTTACGAGCCATCTCATCCGCCTTAGGGATGATCGGTTCCCGGTCCGATCCGATTTCAAGGTGGAACCAGGAACCATACCAAGAGGACCAGTTCTTAAATTGGGAACTAGGGAATGGACCGATTGGTCCTAGAACTGGGAACTGGACCGATCACCGGTCCGATCTAATGGAACTGGTCACTTTTCTTTTCCCACTACTTGATGCCATCTCTTCTTGTTACCAACTACTTTTTTAGAAAAAGATCTAAGTAAAAGGACTATAATTATGTGCTCATGTATCTTCTACAATAAACAAAAATTAAAAAGTAAATTCATAAATTGTAGATCAAAAACAATAAACTAAACCCACCAATTATTGAGAGATGAGGATTATTTTACAACCATGAATGATCAAACATCAGTTATGATCCTCAAATTGAAAAGACTAACCAAAAATCGTATTTCACTTAGGATTTAGTTCACATTTTACTAATTTTTTTGAATAAATAAAAAATAAAACAAAGTATATGTAGTCGGTCCGGTTCAGTTCCCTTTGGATTCGGGAACCGGACATCTCCGGACACCGGTTCCACTTTTAGGAACTAGGAACTGGACCGACACCAAACCGGTCGGTCCGGTCTGGTCAGAGCGATTCTCGGTTTGGGCGGTCTATCTTGCACACCCTTAGTACGCCTTCCTCCTGTGGGATGACAATCGGCATTCGGGGATCGTATTCGTGTCGATGTCGAACTATATAAGGGTATGTTACAAAATAGGCCAAGTAGAACTTGACACCACTAGTAAATCATGTCGACCTGCTCGACACAAATACGACCCGCGAATTAACGAGTTGACATGACACAATATGAGCCTTGTAACACGGAAATAACAAATTGATGATCAACACGATTGCATGAATTGCTATGACACGAAATCAACCCATCTTCATTTTTTCATAAAGTCTATCTACAGCAATAATGCATTAACGAAATATTATCAAAATGAAATTAAAAAACATGTTCATAGTTAATTATATATAATCAATTTTGATGTAGCTAGCAATAATCGCCTAGAGGGGGTGAATAGGTGATCTTAACCAATTTTTATCAATTTATGCGGAAATGAAAAATCACAGTTGAGTCTGAATAAAATTCAGATTCAAGACAGTTTATAGACAGTGCTTTTGATGTGCAGTATGTAAGATAAGAGATAAGGGATAGAAAACTGCACACAAATTTATAGTGGTTCGGCTTATGGCAAGCTTACGTCCACTCTCCCATGCTGACAGCCTA